CACATATTTTGTTGCTGTGTTTTTGTTTTCTCTCTTGTTGCAGGTGTGGAGGCAGACCATAAATGTGTTTTCTTAATGCATCTCTCATTTCTTCTTGTTTCTCTTTCTATCTCTTTTTCACTTTTCTCCTTTTTTCTTTTCTTTTTTAAATTTTTACAAATTAATCCCAAAAGAATTTATAATAAAGGTTTGAATATGTATCAAGTGGAGCATCACGGTGAAATGTCATTATGCTGCACTTGTGAAAGTAAAACCGTCGGGCCTCATTTGGACTCTCAGACATCAGTTCTGAGTTTCACATTGTCGGACAGGACGGGGAGGAAAACAACTCCTAACCCTGTTCGTATATTTCTGTTTGCCTCGTAAAGATCCAGACAGTGGTCCACATCAACGTTCCCCCAAACTTTCTGAAAATGTTCAGATTAGATTTTCTTGGGTCTGTTTCCATGAAGCCCAGTGCAGCTCAGCCCATGGGTTTGCCATCCTGAGGACCCACCACCTGCAGAACCCTGAGCCTGGCTGACCAAAGATGACTTTGGGACAGGGAACATGACCTCTCTGGTGGGGAAGGAGCCTGAGCTTGTGCCTGTCTGGGTTCTGGGGCTGGACCTTTTTCCACTCTAAAGTTGCCCATGGGGAGAGGCACTGGTCTGGTGTGTGTCTAAAAGTCTGCAGTGCACATTTACCTGAGAGAGCACAGGTTCCCTTTGCCTCTGGATGGGGGACAGGTTCTGACTGTTGTTTGTGCCTGTGTGCCAAATGGGAGGTCAGAGTGTCCACCCTTCTTTAGCTGCATCCCAATGGAGGCAGGGGACACAGAGTCCAAATGGACCATGATCTACAGCCCTGAGCTGTGTCCAAAAGGTTGTTAGTGCTTCTCATGGTGGCCATCCTCAAACCTGGAAGTGGACACCCCCAGTGAGGGAGGCCATAAACCTAAAAGAGGAGTCCTGCTGGGCCTTGTTAGATGGTAGGACCCCCGAAGCAGCTGATGGGTGTCTGTGGGACAAGTGGGTCCACAACTGAAGGTGCTGATGTAGGAGGACCTCAGTGAAGTCTTGGATAAACACTCTCAATCACTTCCAAGAAGATTCTGGCAAACCATCAGGTGGCTGAGGCAAAGAAAGTAGAACTTCACTAAAATACTGTGTTCAGGGAGGAGGCTGTTGGTGACCCAACCAGAGACACTGTTGGGAGCTGAAGGAAAACTTTTAAATTAAAATAATGAAATCAGACGTTCTTACGCATTCTGAAGCTCAACTTTACCTTGTTTCAGAGTAATTAGAAAATAAATTCACAAACATTTAAAGGGAAAGTAAAACAAGAACATGGACATTAGGTTGTCTACAGACCCAAGCCTCTCTTGAATAAGATGATCTCCATGGGATTAGCCTGATTAAAACAACTGTAAAAATAAAAAAATGCTTTAGAAATCAATTTAAAAACATTGTCAGAGTACAGGAGGTCCCACATCTGTCTGAAAGAGACAGATGTGGAAAGAAGGTAGATTAAATGTGTCAAAGAAAAGAAAAATCAAAAGGCTGAAAAAAAAAACAACAGAAAAAGTGAAATCCAATAAAAAGGTAAATGATGAGCAGAAGTGGGGGAGGGGCAGGGGAGACAATGTTCACTGCTTATTATGGCTGTAATTTTCCCCCCGGAGCTCATTAACGTCTGCAGAGAGACTGTCCACAAAAACCAACAGAGTGGAGAGAGAGAGAGAGAGAGAGACAGAGAGAGAGAGAGAGAGAGAGAGAGAGAGAGAGAGAGAGACAGAGAGAGAGAGAGAGAGAGGAGAGAGAGAGAGAGAGAGAATGAGAGACAGAGAGCGAGAGAGAGAGAGGAGAGAGAGAGAGAGAGAGAGAGAGAGAGAGAGGGGAGAGAGAGAGAGAGAGNTTTCAAGTTATGAACAAGTCTTTATTTGTATTTTTCTAACAATTAATTTTGTTAGAATCAATCATTTAAATAAAAAACCTAAATAAATTGTGTATTTTGAGAAGCTATACAGTATATTTGAAAACAAGCAGCAAACACGTTTGAGTTCTAAAGAACTAAAACATCAGTACTGAGTGTCTGCATACATATAAATGGGCAGTGGAATAAATGTGGGACCTGGGCGGGGCGGCCCTGATACAACAAACTAATATCTGCAGCATTCATTTTTATTCTTGGGAGCCACGACTGNGATGGGAGGGGTTGGACATCAGAGCTGAGACCAGAAAAGAACAGCTGATTGCTGACAACCTGCAGTTCATCAATCTGAATAAAGAACAGAATATGTGAGCTGAAGGTTCAAACAAAATATGAACTAAATGATTGAAGTGGACAGAATTAAGTTTAGATCTGATGTGATAATCTGAGATCTTAGCTGATCTATTAGAACTCAGACTGGATTGTAGATGATAAATGATNCCTGAAACCAGGAGGTCTGAGACCAGGACCAAGATCCTGATCCCTGAAACCATGAGGTCTGAGACCAGGACCAAGATCCTGATCCCTGAAACCATGAGGTCTGAGACCAGGACCAAGATCCTGATTCCTGAAACCAGGAGGTCTGAGACCAGGACCAAGATCTTGAACCCTGAAACCATGAGGTCTGAGACCAGGACCAAGATCCCGATCCCTGAAACCGTCAGGTCTGAGACCAGGACCAAGATCCTGATCTCTGAAACCAGGAGGTCTGAGACCAGGAATATGATCCTGAGACCTGAAACCAGGACTAAGATCCTGAGACCTGAAACCAGGACTAAAATCTGAAACCAGGACTAAGATCCTGATCCCTGAAACCAGGACTAAGATCCTGATCCCTGAAACCAGGACTAAGATCCTGATCCCTGAATCCAGGACTAAGATCCTGAAACCATGAGGTCTGAGACCAGGTCTAAGTTCCTGAACCCTGAAACCAGGACTAACATCCTGAACCCTGAAACCAGGACTAAGATCCTGAACCCTGAGACCAGGTCAGGTCTTAGATCTTCATAA